ATATATATACACGCTCAAGTTCACCTTCGATTTAACAATCGCAAGCACTAAACACGTAAAAATCAAAAGGTTCTTTCTGTAACCATTAACTTACCATTAACTTAAAACTAACACTTGGTATTAATTAGACTTCCAATGTCAATATATTTTTCTCCTAGTCATCATCATTTTTACTTCATTTGAATAATTTTCTATAAATAATTTCACATTGATGACATGCTATCTGTTGAATATTATTACTGTATAATATTATTTATTGTATATAGCTAATTGTTTATAGGCATATTTATTTTTGTATGCCTGATATTTTGTTTTAAAAATTAATTTTATCACTTATTCCTTTAAGGCCGTTTTTTATAACAGAAATAATATCTTTGTGTGTATATTTATATAGTTTGTGTTAATATTATTGGCTCCATCAATGAAAGCCTCTTTTATGTTGGTATTTTGTTTAGTCCATTGTTTTTTTGCATTTGACTTCTTGTAACTGGTCATAAGTATTTTGAATTATTTCAATGATTCGACAATCAGATTTCAGATGTTTTCATTTGTCTATGCTAAGTTTTTTTTTGTCTGCTTTCAATACATTTAAAGAGACCCATTCGCTGTTGAAATAATAATAGATTGATGTCCCCTTAGATTCATTAATCTGTACATTTCTATTCTGTAAAATTACTTTTATGGTGCCTTTTTTTTGTGTGCAGCGGTCCACAACTATTAGACCAGGTCACACGTTGCCAGTTTATTGAACCACCACCACCACCATCATCATCATCATCATCATCATCAACATCATAATCATCATCATCATCATCATCATCATCATTATCATCTTCATTTTCATTATCATGCAACACCATTACCATTATCGTCATTATTTAGGCATATTATCTTCTTCTTCATATGTGTTTGATCTATTAATTCTTAGTGTTGCTTGATACAGCCTAGTGTCAACCGCAGTACCTTTATCCGATTCCAGAATAACCTATTAACAGCCTAAACACATTGAACAAGCAACAGTGTTTCCTGTTTACCTTCTCTTTCTACGACGTCACACTCTTGTCTGCAATTAACCGCGCATGTAAAATCCGAATTGCATTTGCGCAGTTGACCGTTGTGCTTCATTCGTTCACATACGTCACCAACTGAAACAAGTACAATTAATAAAATTAATTACATTTTAAAAATAATAAATTATTATTACCTACTGTTATTGTCGGGAAAGATTATGCATCGTGCTACACGATAGCTAAAAATATTAATGTTAATGTATGGAAACAACAACTACAGTCTCAGGGAAAATCCTGAAAGTCTGAGAGAAAATGTTAGATTCCAGAGAAAATGATCATCGTTGCTAACTATTGTTTATTTTAACATTGATATTATTATTATTATTATTATTATTATTATTATTATTATTATTATTATTATTATTATTATTATTATTATTATTATTATTGTTGTTGTTGTTGTTGTTGTAATATTATACACAAAGTCTCGGGGAAGCCTTTAAATTATGAGGTGAGAATTAGTCTCAGGGTAAGTCTGAGAGAAAATCGTTAAATTCCAAAGAAATGGTAATCTTTGCTAACTATTGTCATTTCAACATTCATACTATTATTATTATTATTATTATTATTATTATTATTAT